CAGTTTCTCCTAGAGAATCAAAATGAACAGAAAAATTGAGAACTGGTGGATAGGGTTGTAACATCAAAAGCAAATGGAAGATCACCATAACTGCTGAGGTACTTGTTTCCCCCCAAAAAGTTACTCAAATAGCTCACAAAGAATATTTGAATAATAATTTCTATGACTGGCAGTGTGTACCTGCTAAGAGCAGAGAGTAATAAAACTGGAGATTTAAACTGTCCAAATTACCAGGACAACGAAGGGAAGGATTAAAAGTAATTTATCTGGGCCAGGCTGGATAGCTCATAATTAGAACTACTAGGGAAGCAGAGATTGGGAGCACAGTTCGATGCCAGCAAAATTTTGAAACTCCATCTCAAATAAGCCAACCACAGTATCATATACCTGGGGTACTAGCTACTGGGAGGCACAGGTAGGAGAATTATGATCCAAAGCCCAGCTTGGCAAAACACAAAGAACCCATCTGAAATATATATAAAGCAAATAAGGGGGTCAGTGTGTAGCTCAAGTGGCAGAATGCTTGGCTAGCAAGCACAAGGCCCTGTGTGAAGGCCTAGTGAGAAAGAAAGAAAGAAAAAGAAAGAGAGAAAGAAAGAGAGGAAGGAAAGAAGGAAGGAAGGAAGGAAGGAAGGAAGGAAGGAAGGAAGGAAGGAAAAAGAAAAAAATTCAAATTAATTACATGGTGGTAAAGTTTACCACAGTCTTTGTGCTCTCATTAAACAGAAGTCAACAGAAATTTAAAGAAGTTTATAGGGAAATGCAACACATTTATTTTCCTTTCCAAAAGACTTCATTCAGGCTGAGAGTTTCAGCCATCAAATGGTCTTTTGCTTAAAAAAAAAAATTTAACTAAAAAAAATTGTATTCAGATAAAAGTGACCATTTTATTTCAAATATAGTCAATAGACAATACAAAATCTCATATTCAAAAATAGGGTTCATGTTAATAAATTTTATTCTCAAAAATTTGTACCATTAAAAGTAAACTCAAGCTACTAACATTTATTTTACATAGCAAAAAAAGGTAGCACGTTTAGAGAAAATAAACTCAAATTCAACAAATAGCTTGGTTTAAGGCTTAAAAGCTAGTGAGGAATTTCTGGAAGAAAACGATGGTGAACTAAATGCTAATATATGTATACATACGTGTGTGTGTGTGTGTGTGTGTGTGTGTGTGTGTGTGTGTGTGTGTATCACAGATGACTTGAATTAGAGCATCACATTCTTGTACAGAATTTGGAGTTGATATTACTGGTTGCTTACAAGCAACTTGCTCACCATTTCTTTTTTTTGGAGGGGGAAGAAGGGGGTCCAGTCGTGGGGCCTGAACTCTGGGCCTGGGTGCTGTCCCTCAGCTCTTCAGCTCAAGCCAGCGCTCCACCACTTGAGCCACAGCGCCACCTCTGGCTTTTTTCTTTTCTGCTTATGTGGTGCTGGGGAATCCAACCCAGGGCCTCAGGCATGCAAGGCAAGCGCTCTACCACTGAGCCACCTTCCCAGCCCTTGCTCACCATTTCTGAACTTTAGTTTCTCATCTAACATGAAGATGATAATGCTTATTTATTGGCAATAATGTTATTTACTGGCAATCCTGCAAACTGGAAGTACAAAGTATTTCAAGTACAAATAGCATTAAAAAGCTTTCAAATCTGCAAAGCTCTCTATGTTTGTCATATGTTAATCACAATAGAAAAATAACCACTTCCAGATTTTTTTCTAGTTTTAACAATGATTATCCAGGGCTGGGAAGGTGGCTCAGTGGTAGAGCGCTTGCCTTGCATGCCTGAGGCCCTGGGTTCGATTCCTCAGCACCACATAAGCAAAAAGAAAAAAGCTGGAAGTGGTGCTGTGGCTCAAGTGGTAGAGCGCTAGCCTTGAGCTGAAGAGCTGAGGGACAGCACCCAGGCCCAGAGTTCAGGCCCCACGACAGGACCCAAAAAAAAACCAATGATTATCCAATTCTGTGAAACAATAGTTTACTAAGAAAAAAGGTGAAATTAAATTTTAAGCTTAAATAAAGAAGACCTGTCTTATTTATATATTCCAAAAGAATATTTTCAATAAACGCCTATATAAATTGTAAAGAATACACAGTTTAACCACTTGTAAGCAATGTACCATCTGACTTCAGGTAGAATGTTTATCTTCGGTATGCTTTGAAACCAAATAGTGTGTATTAAGCAGAAGCTTTTTATTTTTTGGGGGGGGAGGGGGGACAGTCCTGGGGCTTGTGAACTCAGGGCCTGGGCACTGTCCCTGAGCTTGTGCTCAAGGCTAGCACTCTACCACTTGAGCCACAGCGCCACTTCCAGCCTTTTCTGTTTATGTGGTACAGAGGAATAGAACCCAAGGCTTCATGCATGTTAGGCAAGCTAAACTTTACCACTAAGCCACATTCATTCCCAGCCCCAGAAGCATATTTTTAAAACTGTCTTATTGCTTCTGCCTTTATACTCAGAAGAAAAAAAACACAAGCAATGCCCTTCCTTCATCAAAAGACATCAGAAGAGTTTCCACTTCTTAAATTTTTAAACAGATTTGCCCACTTACCATTTAAGCTCCATGAAAAGCATAGTTATCTCCTCCCACTGTATCCCCAATATCTAAGGACCAACACCAAGTAGGTCCTTAGTATGTATAAAAATGAACAAATGAGTGCCGGGAGATGGTGGTTCATGGCTGAAATTCTAGCTTCTAGCTACACAGAAAGCTGAGGTCTGTTTATCAAGGTTCAAAGTCAGCCAACCTAAGAAACCAAGAGTCTCTAGTCTCCAATAGACAACCCAAAACAGGAAGTGAAGGTGTGTGGCTCAAGTGATAAAGCCATCAGCCTTGGGTGGAAAAAGCTAAGCAAGAGTGAGGGCTTGAGTTCAAGCCCAAGCATGCCACCAGTGAGCACAAACACAAAATGAATCAATGAGCTACACCTCTGTTTAACAGAACAATTTCACCTATACAGCCATCATTCCAAGAGAGAGAGTAACTATGTAGAGAATGAATTACTCTTTCAACTGTATTAACATAGTAAGCTGAAAAGGATCTTTAAATACACACAAATGCATTACTCACATATATCTGATTCACAGAGCCAGTTGTAAAATTATTTTCTCAGAAAATTTAGATGTATTCTAACACACAAATAGCATCAGGAAAGTATATTACAATGTTGAGAAGCAAGCAGTACCTTCCATTTCTGTTGCAATCTGCTATAAAGAGGCAAAGTGAACAGTATTTCCAAAGACGCACCACAGTATTTTGAAACATAAATCAAAGAAAGGTGGAGTATAATGTGAAAAAGACAGGCCTACCATTTCACTATTATGCTGCAATTTGAAAACACAATATTAAGTTAAAAATAATTGCATTCAAATATAACACCTAATGAATATCCGTACAGTTGATTAACAGATCTGGCTAAGAAAAGTTATTTTCCAGGCTTTAGAGCTACATGATCAACTTCTTGACTACAAAGCTTAGAGGCTATTTTTATTAAAATAATACTATTTGTAGGAAGTGGTGCTGTAGCTCAAGTGGTAGAGCGCTCACCTTGAGCTGAAGAGCTGAGGGACAGCGCCCAGGCCCAGAGTTCAAGCCCTATGACCGACAAAAAAAAAAATAATACGATTTGTATGCAATTTCTCTCATAATTTTAAAGTCTAGGCTAAGATATTCAGCAGTTAACACACTTATTATATTTGATTCTACAGCCTTCACAAGCATAATTATCTGGGTGGAACAGGCTTCATTCACGGTTGGCAAGCTATGATCTACATCTCACATCAATACTCCACAAGCACGGATTGCGAAATTCTTATGGTCATCTTCAAAGACACTTGACCGTGAGTCCAACTGCTGGTAAACATTTTTTAAAGTCAATCCACAGACAAACACAAACACCAGTACGAAAACAAAGCTCTCTATGGCAACTAAGGAGTAGGGGGAAGTGGGCGGAATCCAGGGGAATATACAAGATAAAGCTCAATTAATTGCTCCCCCCAGTTTTCTCCTCAGGATCCTAAACAATGGGCGTTGGGCACTTCTTTGGGAGCGCTTTCAGAGCAGAAATTTCTCGTTTCCACAGCTCCTCTCCACAGCCACCAGCAGGGCCCTTTCTTCCTCTCCCTCACCCCGCCCAGCTCGCACGAATTACCATTCGTACGAAGGTGCCTCCTATCCGCTCGCGGCGTCTCCCCGAACACGCCCACGTACCCTGAACTGGCCTCGGGCACGGGCTGCCCGGGAGCAGGTGGGGCGGCGGGGGTCCGCCGCGCACGGGCCCGGGCTCGGGTCCTGCTCCCAAACCGTCCCCGCAGCCCGGCGTCTAGGAGCGTGCCGAACCCGACACGGCGCTGGAATTCCGGATATTTACACTCCGAGAGCGCGGCAGGGCCAGTGTGCGCTCGGACGCGTCCGGCATCTCCTCGGGTGTCTGCACGCCGCGCTCCCCGCGGCGGCGGCGGCGGCGGCGGAGCCGACCTCCGGCTGCGTCCGCACGGCGGCGGCGGCGGCGCCCCGCAACAGGTCACGACGACCGCCGTCTACGGGCGGCCACCTCCGCAGCCCGGCCTCGGGGCTATAGCCGCCCGGGCCAGGGGAGGGGGTGTGGCCGGCTCCGCGAGTCCCGGCGGGGCGGCCGAGGTCGGGCTCACCTGAAGGGAGGCTGAGGCGCCGGCAGCAGCGGCGGGAGGCGGCCGGGAGCCTCCGCCACTCGGGAGAAGAGCGGGGCGAGGCGGGCTCCGAGGGTCGCCCGCGCCCCGGGCCTCGGGCCCGAGCCAACCGGCCGACTCCCCACAGCCGCCCGGGACTGGGAGAGCGGAGGCGCGGCCCCCGCCGCCAAAGCTCCGCAGCCCTCCCGCGCCGGAGGGGCCCGCCGCCGGGAGAGCAGCACCGCACCGCGCCGCATCGCCCGAGCCGCCGCCATTCCCCGCGCCGCCGCCCGGGGGGTCGCAGCGCGCCCACCTTCCCTCCCCCGCACCACCCGCCGCAACAGCACCGACCTGTGCGGCCGCGGCCGCCACCTCAAGGGCTGGAAGGGCGACGCCGGCCTCACGTTCCACCGCCGCAACCGCCGAGGGTAGCGCCGGGCGAGCGGAGCAGCCGGCGTCTCTCATTCAGCGCCCGCCGCTGGCGCTCGGGGGAGGGGAGTGCGCGGGATCCACCCCGTCCGCGCGGGGGTGGGGGAGGAGAGCGGGCCTGGCGGGGGCGCGCGTCGGCGGGAGGGGCGGGGCAGGGGCGGGGGCGCGCGCGCGCGCCCACCGGCCGAGCCCGAGCGCGGGCGACCCGAGCGCCCAGCCCGCGGGGTCTTTCCCGGGCGCTTCCCAGCCGCCGCGCGGCTGCGGGCCGAGGCCAACCGCCGCCGCCCCTACCCTCCGCGCGCCTCCAGCCGCAGCCCCACCGCACAGCGCCCGCCGCGGGGAGTGGCTCCACTGGCCGAGGGAGGCTGCTCTAGGCGACGGACAGGTGGGGCGTCGCTGCAGCCCCCTCTCCCGCGCCGGGCCTCCGTGGTGCAGTCCCCTGGGGCGCCTGGCCTCTCCGCACCCCGCCTTTAAGGCACTTGTTCCCAGATCAAATATCCAGCTCAGGCTGCACACGGGAAGGGAGCTCCAAGCGTGAAGTCACCCCCCCTCACCGTCACAGGGTCATAGATTATGGGGATCAGTTCCCCCCCACATTAGGATTCCGGAAGTGTTGGAAGTGCGCCTTTGTAGGTGTTAGGCAGGGTTCTATGACAGCAGTTTGGCATCCGCCTGCCTCGGGTTCCTGAGTTCCAGGCGATGGGTCTTTTCACATCGTTGCAGGAACACGATTCTTTTAAATATGAAATAATTCCTACGAAGGAAAAGGGGGTGCATTTGATAGAAGCGGTGGGAGGAGGCTGCGCGGGGCACCCGTCCTTATGGGTGGCCTACTTAACATCACCATTTGAGGCAGTGTGACTTTCAGTGGAAGGCTTTCCGTGAGCCGCCTTTGTAGCTGCAGTCACTAGGCAGGTTGGAAATGGATGGGTCACTTGATGACCTGCAGACCTGTTTTCCTCTAGGCATCGTGTAATAGAATGTAGAAGGAAAACTTGAGTCTGCATTGAGAATAAACCCCAAAAGGGCTTTATTTTTATTAAAACCCATTTGGTTTCTCTTCCTTCCTTTACTACCCACTGAACAACTGATCCCTCATGTATAAGAAGAAGGCTATTTTCTCATTGGCTACTTTCTTCCATACTTTCTTTTACTCTAGTTGAGGAAGCTAAAATACCCTTTTAGCACCCTTCTCTCAAGTAGGCTTACTTCCTTAACTCGCCTCCTCCAAAGGTAAGGTAACAGCCACAAAACAAGAATAGGTTAATTGTTCAAGGTTTCAGTTGTTTGCGTGTGCCGGCACAGGAGCTTGAATTCAGGGCCTTGGCTTTTTCTGCTCAAGGCTGGCACTCTACCACTTCTAGCTTTTCACTAATTAACTTGAGATAAGAGTCTCAGGAACTTTTCTGACTGCCTTCGATGGGGAATCCTCAGATCTCAACCTTCTGAGTAGCTACTATTATAGTTGAGCTACCCGTACCTGGCCAGCTTCTAGCCTCAGTGAAATGACTGGCAAAAGAAACCAAAAGGAGCAGGGCGGTGGCTCACGCCTGTCATCCCAGCTACTCAGGAAGCTGAGAGCTAAGGATTGAGGTTCAAAGCCAGCCCCGGCAGGAAAGTCCATGAGACTCTTATCTCCAATAAACCACCAGAAAATCGGAAGTGGCACTGTAGCTCAAGTGGTAAAGCACTCACCTTGAGCTGAAGAGCTGAGGGACAGTGCCCAGGCCCCAGAGTTCAAGCCCCACAACCGACAAAAAAAAAAAAAAAAGGAAAAAACAAAACATTTCAGATGAAAATAAGAAGGGAGAGGAGTAAACTATTGATAAAAAGAAATGATAAGAGGCTGGGAATGTGGTTCAAGTGGTAAAGTGCTAGCATGCATGAACCCCTGAGTTCCATTCCTCAGCACCACATAAGCAGAAAAAGCTGGAAGTAGTGCTGTGGCTCAAGTAGTGGAGTTCTATCCTTGAGCAAAAGCTAGGGGACAGTGCCAAGACCCTGAGTTCACAAGCCCCAGGACTGGCGAAAAGAAACAATAAGCAAAATGAGTTAGCAGTTGGAAAGCGTCCCCCTAGTTATTGAGTTGGGGAAATGCTTATTCTTTTTTCAAAGTTAGTAAGAGATTAAGGAATAGGGAGTTGGCTATGTGCCAACAATAATACCTACAGTGATTTATATGCATAGAGAGATACCATTACCACAAACAATTAACTGCTCCTAAGAAATAGAACACTTTACCGGACTTATATAAAATGGTGGCTCCTCTGTACAACACCTTTATAATAATAACAAAATTAGATTTTTTTAAAAGCTGAGGAACATCAGAATTATATCTGTATCAAAGTCTTGCAATTCAACTTGAGTTAGAGTTTCATAACAACAAATGTGCCTGTGTTCCTACAGCTCCAAATAATTTTTACAGTTTACTGTAAAAGCAGTGAAGTTTTCCTTTGGACTTTGAAGAGAAGCCATTTGATTCAGGAGCTCAGCCCCAGATACACTAAATTCTTGTGCCTACATATTTTCTGAGTTTGAAGTAATTACCCCAAATCTGTTTCTCATGTGGATAACTGTAAAATCATACTTTTATTAACCTTGTGAGTTTTGTTAAGTTCAAATTTCTAATCCTGATTAAGAATTTGTGTATTAAAAATATACAAAAAAGTTCATTTCAGTGCCCTTTATATAAATGAAAGCAAAGACTACTAGCACTAAAATTTCTTTACCAGGGCAGTTAGAGCAGTTAAATTCTGTGTTGCTCTATGGAGCCAATTTGCTTTTGGCAAAAGACAAGAAATAGCTAAAAGGCTTAGTGTAACAAAATGCTAATGTATAAAATAGAAGTACTATTATATAAAATACAAATCAATAAAAATTCAATATGCCCAAAAGTTACTTCAGAAGAATCACCATGATGGAACAATTTTATTAATACCAAATTATTTCTGAGTAGCAAGCTAAAGAACTATTTAGAATAATCAGGTCAAAGACAGACCACCACTGTAAGAAACAAATTGACAAACAGTTCAGCTCATCATAGTTGTCAAAAACAAAGGCTGCATTTTGGGCTTTTGGGTGATTAATTGGAGATACAAGTCTCAGATCTTATTTTTTAGGCTGGCTTAGGACCACCATCCTCAGATCTCAGCCTCCTGAGTAGCTAGAATTACAGGTGTGAATCACCCACACCAGACTGAAAATGTTTTTCAAGGAAGAAAGATGACCCACTGATGGAATTGAAAACAGTAATAATTTTGTGACCATTATGGCAAAGATGGGGTACAGTAAGAATCAGTGGAGGATCTAAATATAGGAAGAATGGGGGAAGATATTTGTTATTGTCACAGTGTGTTTTCACACACACTTCTTACTTGTTGCAGGAAGGAAGGAGTATTGGAGAAATTAGACAAAACTCTCTGTAATCAAAATTAACATCATAGATAAGAAATAAAAGGACATTATTTGCTTCCAGATATGATTCTCCAAACACATCTTCTAAATGAAGAAATGTCAGATGGATCCCCAATGAGGAATGTTCTGTTTTGTTTTGTTTTTTTTAATAGGCACTATATTCTTCTAAGATGTCAAATAAGACAGAGGCTATGAAAATATCCCAGGTGAAAAACCATGACAACAAATATGAAATACTAGACTGTATCTTTTCCTGGAAAAGGAAAAAAAATGCTCTGAAAAGATATTATTGGATTAATGGGAAGACTGCTAGAAATTGATTAGATAAAAGTATTTCATCTATGTTAAAAACCACGAACTTAGTAAATACTGGAATTAGGAAATACACACGAGTATTTAGATGCAAAATGCTAGGATGTATATATGGCTCAGGAAATAAAAGCATATATAGCAAAAGAGAAAATTAAAATGATAATATATTAACAGTATGTCCCTGGGTAAAGAGCAAGTATTTCTTGCAATCTTTCTATAAATTTTAACTTATTCCAGTAAAAGTTTAAAAAAAGTTTTGAATTAGGGCTAGACAAGGTAACTCACATCTTTAATCTTAGCTACTAGAGAGATGAGAATCTGGAGAATTTGGTTCAAGACTAGCCTGAGGCAAAAGTTATCAAGACCCAATCTCAACAAACCAAGCCCAGGCCAGGTGCAGCTCACCAGAAGTTCCAGCTAAATTGGAGATCAGAAAAAACTGAGTCCAAAGCCACCCCTGGGCAAATTCCAAGATCCTATCAGAAAACTAACTAAAGCAAAAAAAACTAAGGTGTGACTGAAGCAATAATGCACTTTCCTAGCAAGTATAAAGCCCTGAGTTCAAAACCTAGTACCCAAAAAACAAATGGGCAAATTAGAATTTGAGCCAGGTACTGGTGATATACAATTGTAATGTCTGCACTTAGGAGGCTGAAACAGGGGGGTTGTGGCTTCTAGGAAACTTGGGCTACATATTAAGTTAAAGGCTCAAGTGGTAGGTAGAATGCTATCCTTGAGCTGAAGAGCTGAGGGATAGTGCCCAGGCCCAGAGTCTAGGCCCCAAGACTAAGTAAAAAAAAAAAAAAAAGAGAGAGAGAGAGAGAAAAGAGAAAAGAAAAAAGAAATTCCTACACTATAATATCATAATTTAAGTTTTTTTGGTGATTCTATGGATCAAACTCAAAGCTTTGTTTATACTAAGGAAACAGTATACCACTGAACTACACCCCTAATCCCAACATCCTAATTTTAAATTAACCATGTAACTGACAAGTCCCACAGACTTTCTGAAAATTCTTATTACTTCTATGAAACTGTCTCATCTCTTAGGCTAAAATGATAGAAACAGGAAATATATAATTGAAGAGTCATCTTATTCAACTTATAAACAAACAGGCTTAGAGATGAAAGGTTCAAGGTCCTTGAACTAGTAGTTATCAAATCCAAGAACCTAGTACAGCTGCTAAGCAGCTACCAATTAGTTTCTATCAGTTTCACTCTCTGGTAAATTTTTGGTGCTGGAACTGAGGTTGGAACCCAGGGCCTTACTCTCTCACTTGGCTTTTTTCCCTCAAGACTGGTGCTCTACAATTGAGACACCTCTACTTCTGGA